GGAGCCGGAGGCTCCCAGTATAACCGAGTACTGATGTTTGTAACCCCATCAGGTAATAGAGCTACATAATTGTACCCAGTCGGCTGATCCTGGATTCTGATATCTTGAACGATCTTATTCGTGTCCAGGTCGGTCGTGACTCCACGAACAACATGGTCCCATTGAGGGCCCTTTTGTGGACATTGGACGTAGTGTCTTACCTTTTTGTCAACGCGAGTACACACACTGAGGTGTACCGCACTCCGCTCATTCCTGATCATGTTGGCTTTATTGAGTTGATCAAGGAAGCGTGCAATAATGATAGCCAAAGTTTTATGCCGGAACTCGGCACGTTGCTGATCTTGGCCATACCAATCCAAATCATGCTCTTTGTGTGAGCCACAAGTACATCTCCATAAGTTTATCGGTATATGAGGACAAGATGTAGCAACTTGTATCTAAGAACCACTGGGATATTTGCTGGAGCGGTCAAACTTGATACCGAAATGACAGAGTCTCATTCGTATAATGCTTAGCTTCAAATCTTCGATCACATCTTTGATCGGACCCTGTTTCCAGAAATACCCGGGTGGCCCCAGGATAACAATCTGCATCCTCAGAGCACGCGCTTTGATCAGGAGATTTTGTATACGTTGATAGTGTGGTCCCGCCCTCTTTCCTGGAGTACGAACGTACCAATCAGAGGGTGTGGCCACCCACAACATATTGTAGTCTCATGCCAACAAATTTCCCAAATACTGTGTTCCAGTTGAAGTCATTACCTCATTATGGGTAATCCGGTCGCATATATATCCACGGGTTCGGAGTTCAGCGCAAGCTGTGCGAATATCTTCGATGACAAGACATTTTGAATGATTTTTTTCCTCTCGGGCCTCAGCGCGGCCAACGTATGTCGCGAGGAGGCCGGTATTCGGCTTCTCTTCGCAAGCGAGCGCCGCCGGCGCGCCCGCCTGCCCCCGTCAGCGGCGGTCGTGTGACCACGTTGCCGTCTGACCCGGAGGCATGCTGTTAGCGGATGGCTCCGCAGGAGTCGCTGGTGTGGCTACGCTCGCGATCTCCACGCGGGTTGGCCCCGCAGAGTCCGACGAACCTCCGCCCGTGTAGCTTGGTGGTGGTGGCGGTGACGCGGGTGGCCCCGCTTGGTCCTCAGGCGTCCATTTATTCACCGCCTCCTGGACTGCCCAGAAGATCTTAGACTTCAGGGCATCCTTCATATGTGGCCAGGTCCCTTCGGGACACTGTTGGCCCTCCCACCAGCTGTTCAGCGTCCTGTCCACGATCAAACGGGTCGTGTCTTCCAGGAGCTGCTTGTCGATGTACGACTCGACAATGTACGTATCGGTCGTGACGGTCATGGACTGTCCCGTCGCGGGTGGCCCCGCTGTTGCTTCGGCGGGTGGCCCCGCACTGACGGGGTCCTCTTCGTTCTCCGTCTCGGTATAGCCATCTCGACTGCTGCGGATTGTGAAGGTGTTCGTGACCGTCTGGCTTTTAGCCCCGTCATACAAACCGCAGGGAATCGCGAGATGTCCCGAGGGAGTTTTCTTCGCCTTCAGGACCTTGGCGCCCCTTCCCAGCTTCAGGGTGTAGTCACCGCTGGGGAAGATAACCTTCTGGTAGCCTGGCTTCAGCACGATGATCGTGTCACGTGCTTCCATGGCTCCTAGGCCCCAGATGGCCGGGAGATTGGCACCCGAGCCTTCTGCGATGTTGGAGGCATACTCCTCGATACGGGGGCTTGCCTCATTGGCATATTGTACCCCGATCTTGAAGTTGCCCATCTTCCGACATATCGCAGCGCCCTCACCAACACCATTGATGTAGAGGGTCTTGCTCAGGGTGCATATGGCAGGTCTGTGATTGTACCTGGCCATAATCTCCTGGAAGGTTCGCGCCGTATTGGATCCAATGATGTTCACATTGGAACCAATGTCCAGCATGAACGAGATGCAGGGCATACCATCTTCGTCAGGAAAGAATGTCCCATTGCGCGCTGCAAGAGCGATCTGTACGCCAGTGTGGTCATTGGTGTGGTACGTGATCTGCGATCCGAGTGTACCCCTCAACAGGCGCTGTTCAAGAACCCATTGACTCATGGTCAGCTCGGTGCACCACATCTGCTCATACTGGCGGCGCTCCTCCACGGTAATTGGTTCCTGCTCAAGGACCCAATAATTCGCAGATAGCGTGGACATCCATTCACCTCCTGGTGGCAGCGTGTCCGTGTCGTCACGTGCGTAGGTCAGCCCCTCTGTATCGATCATGAATGTGGTATGGAATTGGGCTGCCTCTGCGCTCTCAGCGCTTGCCCGGCTCCTGGCGCTGACCGGGCTTGCCACTCGCGAGGTCCTGGTTGATCCAGTTGGCCTTCGAGTCCCGCCTCCGCTCCTGCCACTCCGCCTGATGTTGGCCTCCATTGTCCTCAGGAAACCTGGATTTGGAAGTCCATTTGCGGGTGGCCCCGCTTGCGCGGAGGGAGCCGCTTCAGCGGGTGGCCCCGCAGCTGGGGGCTCCTGCGCTCGAAGCGTAGGCAGGATTGGCATCTGAATGCCTTGCTCTGGCGCTGGCCAGGGGTATGCCTGTGCAGCTGGGACACGTGCGGATGGCTCCGCCGATTGTGCGGCTCGAGCCTCCAGTGCCTCCACTGCTTCACGTAGCCGACGCATTTCCCGGGCATCTGCCACGCACCTTTCCTGCTGGCGCGCTTGTTCTGATTCAGCGTCGCGCTGTCCAGCATACGGGAAGTGTGCTATAACTATGCCCGGCCCACGACATACAGCGCAGGGGGCCTCATTCGGCGCACCTGGCCGCTGATTGCGGACGTGCTGCTGTGCAACACGATCCCAGCATATATCGAGAAAGAAGTGCCCACACGCCAGTCTCCACACTGTAGTGCCCATCTCGTAGTTGTCCATACAGATTGGGCACTGTGTGAAGTTGTAGTCTGAAATGACTGGAGCAGGCACGTCTGGGCGAGTCCGAGCTTGTCGCTCGAAAGTGGTTTCGCCCTCCCGATATGGCGTCGGTGGCGGCCGTCTATCTGGCCGTTCAGCGGGTGGCCCCGCGTCTGCGGGTGTCCCCGCTTGGGTCTCACGCTCAATCCTTCTCTGGATCGAGCGTTGTTGGCGCAGCCTGGTGTTGTCCCGAGCCTGCTGCCTAGATGCCAGTATCGCTTGCTGCGTGTTGTGCACGTCGCGGATGTAGTCTGGCATGCTGCCCATATCGGCTGGCACCGCGAGACCAGCTGGCTGAACTACGGTCTCGGGGTCCGTCGGCGTGGGCATGTAGGCGTAGTGCGGCATAGACTGCGCATCGACCGCTCGTGTAAACTGCAAACGAAACATCTCATTGGCTAGATTCCGAGTGTATTCGTTCGCAGGTGGCCCCGCAATCATAGGAGTGTTATTCATCTGCGCGTAGTACTCCGGGTACATCGGCGCGTCCATGGCCTGCGCCTCTGCTGGACCGTGATTGTCCCATCCATATATTGGGTGTGATGCTATTCCTGGAATAAACACCTGTCGATATGGATTCGTGGGATCAGCATTTGGAGCATCTTCAGAAGTCAGCTCCAGAGAGGCCGAAAGTCGCCATGATTCGTAACATCTATGTTGCGGTTCCGCAACAGGCTGGGCACTCTATCAGCTTGTTGCTGCAGAAAAGTAGCCTGTGCTCTTAAGTTAGCTGCCCGACGTTCGTAGTCTGAACCTTGCTGTCCGTCAGCGGGTGGCCCCGCATGTGCGGGTGGCTCCGCAGGCGTTCGCTCGGCGGGTGACCCCGCAGCCACTCCTCCTTCACTACCCCTCGGAGTGCCAAAGGGAGTGGTTGCCTGGAGTGCTGCTGCGAGTGCCGGATTCCCGCGAATCGCCTGGAGTCTTTGCCACAAGCTGTTCTCGCTCGTTTCAGACGGCGGAGTCCGAAACGGCGAGCCACCATCTGAGCCGCCCATAGGGACAAACCTCGCACCTCCAGCTTGCTGCGGAGGGCGTTGTGGTTGTGGTCCTAGGACGCCTGGTGGCCCCGCAGGAGTGCGCAGGTTCCTCTGCTGTGCGTCTTGGATACCTGTATGCACTGCCCACGGGTCAGCACGATATAGCTGATCGGTCAGTCCAGAAACGTCGGCTGGTGTCAGGTAGCTGTTGAGGGCCTGGACCCATGCCTGCTGATCCGGCCTCCAAGGAGATGCTACCGTTGCTACTGGTGTGACCACTTGTTGCCATGAACCATCCGAGGTGTCTGCCGCGGGTGACCCCGCAACTGCGGGTGGCCCCGCCTCAGACATGACCTCGTCTTCCTGGGCATTCATCATGGGGACTGTCTGTGTGTCGTACGGTCGTGGAGCAACATCTTGCTCGGTCATGATCAAGTTGAATGGGCGACCGTCCGTCTTAGACCAGCCCTTTAGGTACATGGCGTGATCTTCCATTACACCCAGAGTTCTGTCACATAATTTAAGTGGCAGGTAGTCATCGGTGCGAATCTTGTCCGCGGGTTGGCCCCGCCTCCGCGACTTGTCATAAGCCAGCGGATTGCTCCAGGCTTCACCGACCCGATATTTCGCAATGCTCACAATCTGGAGGATATGATCGGGCGGTATACGGCCGTCGTGGCCCCGTGTCATGACGATGTCATTTGCTGACCTCCATAGGGAAAAGCCACTGGACAGCATCTTGTTGATGCTGCAGAATATGAGCACCTCCGAGTCAGGACGGATGCCCGATTGAATCCTCGGGTCGCCCGGAAGGTAGGGGCAGCCGTGTACAAATTGGCGCCCCCCCTTCCTTTTAGGGTTGTCCTGTGCGAGGCATGAAAGGCCATTAGCAAGGATGTCCTTGACATATTCCCACTGTGTCCCGTGGATGAAATATACTGGGTCGTCTGGTTCTTTCATCCATGTTGCGATCGGCTTATAAAGCGACTCGGGACAATGGATGCCTGGACTACTGTGGCCGTTCGTGGCTCTGATGAAGTACTGTGGCCTGCGTGCCGTTGGTCGGAACCTGGGAGGCAGCAGCATGCTGTCATCAACGCACTTCATCTGGAGCCTGCCCTTCTGCATGCCGTGATTGTCAATCATCTCACAGCAGTTTAGCAGCACCCAATGCACGTATGACGTGTGGGGCCTGCCCTTGATCAGCACCTCGTGCATTTCACGATAGCCTTTCCACTGATCATTTTCAGTCCAGTTTGTCAGCAAATCGTCAACAACAACCCAGCCATCGTATGGATCGAAAGTTCTAATCTTTTCGAAGTGTCGGCTGAATCCATCCTTCCAATACGGACTATGGCGTAGGGCTGTAGAGAACCATATTGACACCTTGGTCATTTGCCCATCGCGCGGCAGAGTCGGATCCGTGCCGAACCTCTCCATGACCTTCATGAGCTCTGCCCTGTGCTGCGCGACGCGCAATGGCGGCCTGTCTCGCAACATATTTCCCACGGCTTGTTGTTCACGTTCCCAGTCGTTGCGGCACTCGAAGTTACGACGATCAGGGCAATTAATGACCTCGTATCGATCTGTATCGTCTCGAGTGACTCGTGGGTTTGAGGTGCGCTTCGGGCCTTTGCCTTCAATGCCTTGCCAATATTCCATGGCTCCCAGAGGGATGTTCCTGAGAACAGACATCACTGGCTGCCAACGCGCGGGTGGCCCCGCCAATGCAGCTGGCGCCGCTTTAACGGGTGGCCCCGCAGAGCCTGCGGCTGACGAGGCAACTCCAGCGGATGACTCCGCGCCAGGGTGCGGGTGACCTTGGTCAGCCACTGCATCATCGGCTAGTTTCTGTCGGTCGCCAAATTCCTTGAGGACTTTGAAGCGTTCTTCTCTTGAGAGAGTGCCTTCTGCGGGTGCCCCCGCTGCTGCAGCTGGCGCCGCTTTAGCGGGTGGCCCCGCAGAGCCCTTGTCCTCCTTAGCTTTGGCGGCTGCTTCTGCCCGCACCGACCTCATCCCAGCTTCGGGCTTCGGCTGTGCTTTCATTCGTGCCGAACCTGGTCGTGGTGCAAGGCGCGGCTGATGTAGAGTTGGAGTCCAGTCACCTCGGAAGGCTGCCTTAGGCTGGTCGCGAGCTTCGTCCTTGACATCGCCTTGGGCAGCCGGTGGCATCGGGGTTGATGGTCCAGCAAAAGCCTTCCTCCTCTCCGTCACGGACGGGCCGGTAGGCTCTCCCTGCTCAGGGTCGTCCTTCTTGGCGATCCCTCTGGCCTTCGCGCGCCCCTGTGTGCCTTCGGGGCTCTTGGACGGGTGCCTCTTCGCAGGAGTCGGTGAAGACGAGGAGTCGGCTTCAGGTATTGGAGGTGGTCTGCTGCCCTTGCCTGGTTGTGGACCAGGAGGGTCTTTAGGAGGGCCTTCTGGCTGGCCATGATCATGGATGATCTGCCTCATCTGGTCGATGTCGGCAGTACCTTTTATGGCCAGCTTGTATTTGCCATTTTCGTGGCGGTGAATTACCCTCGTGCAAAACCACTTCTGCGCCGAGGAGCTGTAGTACCAGCAGGCCCCCCTCCCCCCCCCCGGCGGGTGGCGGCGGGGTGTTTGTGGGGCTTGGGGGTGGGGGGGGGGTGGGGGCCCCCCCCCCCCCCCCCCCCCCCCCCCCCCCCCCATACCCACCCACTCCTTTTGGGGCCCCCCCCCCCCCCCCGGGGGGGGGGGGTGGGGTGGGTGGGTGGGCGGGTGGGTGGGGCGGAGCTCGGGGGGGGGGGTGGCGGGGGGGGCGCACCCATCAGGGAATGGATTCTCTGAGCCGTCTTCCGCCGCCCATTCTTCATTCAGTTCGGTTTGGTCAGTGCCGGCGGCGGATCCGGCAGCAGATGCAACAGCTATCCAATCTTCGTCCGCGGACCCAACGACTGGCGCCGCGTCTGCGGGTGACCCCGCTTCTCCGCTGGATTCTGCGGGTGACCCCGCCTCTTTATGGAATCGGCGGTTCCATTCCTTGAGGCGATGGTCATTGGGAAGCTGTTCCCAATTTTCCCTGACAGCGTTGGCAACCTCCTCGGTCATAGGGACGCGATCGGCTTCAGTGATGCGCTTTCCTCCTCCAGGGACCTCCTTGTTAGGATCATGGACGTTGCCAGCGTCATCTCCATGAGACCAATTCCACGGGGTCTCACCGTGATGAGGACTCCTGGAGGGGCGGTCCATCGGACAACTGCGCATGTGACCTTTGAAGGGCTCGCATTGACATACTTGTTTCCTGTATGTCTTGCGATCGTTGATGATCTCCTGTTTCTTAGCCCTTTTGTCCCAAGCCTCTGGCGTTTTAGTTTTGCCACCCTTGGTACGTATTATCATGCCAGATTCGTCCCTTTTGGTACAGTATTCCTTAGAATACCAGTGGCGGATCACGTCCATCGAGTAGCCGGGGTACCAATTGATGTACCACTCCGGCACGTACTGAGCGGATACACCTACGGAGTGCTCCGTACTGCACGGATAGCCCGATGCATCATGTGTAGGGCGTCGTGGAGCTGAACGGCTCCTCCTGCGGGCTGGCCCCGCTGACGCACTGCCACGTTCCATGGGCCTCTCATCTTCATGCTCTGAGTCTCGGGGAGGCGATGGTCGTCTGTCCTTCTTGGCATGGCGCATGTCCTCCGAGTCCTCTGAGCTGTCCTGGACCATGAATACGTGCTGATACGGGCTTCGGAAGTACCCGATGTCGTTTAGCTGCTCCATAGTGAGGTCGTTGAGGTCCATCTGGTCGCAGCCCTGCATGAATACATCCATAGACCAAGCGGGTGGCCCCGCTGCTGCGGCTGGCGTCACTTCGGCGGGTGACCCCGCTAGAGCCTGGAGTGCTGTCAGCATCTGAGGTGCCGACATGTCCGAATCCAGGTATGGACGCAGCCTTGCGGCCCCTGGGCGCGACAGCAGGTCACTCATGGTTATCTGCTGATGTGCTGGCGCACTCAGGAGCTGGATTGCTTCTGCGACCTGCTCTTGGAGCATGTCCTTGTGGTCCTCTTCGGCCTCTTCAGAGTCAGAATAAGCGGGATGGCCCCGTATTTCGTCATCAGCGTCTCCCGCTTCCGAGCCAGCTCGCGGAAGATCTGGCAGCAACGGCGTGCCAATCACCTGCGGTGCCAGCGCGGCGGCGAGCTCCTCCTCGGTCGCCGGGACGGTCTCAGCATCGGAGATCTCGTCGTCGGCGGGTGGCCCCGCTGGAAGACCGAACCAGGCATTGAACGCGACCTCGTCGACTTCGTCCCAGCCGTGGAACTCGTCGAAGAGGGTCACCGCGTACTCTTCCAGGGCTACGGTCACTTCAGCGCAGCGGGCCATCACGTAATACGTGGAGGAGCCCGCGGCGGGAGCCGCTTCTGGATTGACGTAAAACTCGTAGTCAATGTAGTCTATATCATCCATAAAAGAGTTTTGAGCCAAATGTACGGATCCCTTTCCTTTCCCTTTCGGGCATTGATCGCGCAAATGCTCTGTACTACCGCATGTATGACACTTCATAGTATTGCCAGAAGCGTCCCTAGGGTTGCCCCTCCGCCCTTTCCCCTTGCCAGAAACCCGCCTGCGACCCCGACCTTTGCCTCCGATGAGTACTTCTTCAAAAACTATATCAGTTAAGGACGTGAGGAAAGCAGTAATACCCCTACCATGCATACGGCGTCTGCGACCCCCTTTGCCGCGACCCTTTCCATATCGTTTGAAATGTCGGCGTACTGCACGTCTCACTTTTCTGACCGGTTTCTTCATGAAGCGCCTCCAACGGCGTTTTGATTTGCGATAAGCCATAAAAGCGGCTTCCGCTTTTTGTTGTTCAGAAAGGTGAGTGTCATCAGCTGGGTAATCATTGCCAGCAGAGACTATGCCATTGTGATCACCGTCAGATGAGGTATCGGTGTCAGTGCCAGATTCAAACGGGGAGGGTGGCTGAGACCCTTGAGCGGATGACTCCGCTTGGCCCCAGAGGGTTGTGCCCGAGGGCGGGCTTGCAGTGTAGGCGGCGCCCGGCGTGTAGTTCGACCAGGCGTTCGCCTCCGCTGCCTCTGCCGATGCCTGGCCAGTCTGCCCTAAGAGGGTAGTGGCCTCGTTAGGCATATCGGCTGGGTCAGCCCAGGGACTTGGCTCGCCAGGGCCAGCGGGTGACCCCGCAGTCGCGGCGTAGACACCTGCATGTGAGTGGTGCCCTGTGAAGATGCCCGCAATGTTGCCAGGAGAGCGTTCGGCAACATGCCCGTAATGCCTCATCCTGGTCAGCAGCCTATCATAGTCTGCTTGTGTTCTGGGCATCTGATGATTAAAGGGCTCCAGCAGGTGTTGGGCTCGTGACGCGCCAACGCCTAACGCTCTGAAAAGAATCAGCGTTAGGATCTGAAAGTTGGGGATGACAAAGCCAACAGAGTTAGCCTCGTCACGGGCCATCTCGAATCGAGCTAACACTGAGACGATTCGTTCGCCCCTTTCGACGCGGAGGTCGATAAGGGCAGTGCCAGAGTTGAGCTGGCGCTCATCTTCCAGATTCTCAAATTTGGTGCTCAATAGGTACAGTATGTAAGTAACTGCGTCCGTTGGTTGTCCGTTGACGGTTACACCATAGTTGATGATCTGGGAGGGGACCTGCATGGCGATACGACGAGCAAGGCCTTGAAGGCCACGTTGTAGTGCTGCAGCTTGCTGAGGTGGCGTCATATTGCCGCTCGTTACGTTTATCCATGCATGTACTTCGCGAACATACTCGCGAAAGGGCGTAGTACCGGCTGGGTCCCATGAAGGGCCGGTAGTACGCGTGTCGTCCATCCCTTGCCGCACGTAGCCCACAGCACATCCCAATATTACCCATAAAATGCCGAAGATAGTTATCTTAATCCAGTGCATGTGCATCCCGGCTTCGGTGATTGGTTTAGGCTGTGGTTTGTCAGGCTCGGGCGTAGTAGCCGTGAGGCGCCTGACCGGCATGGGATGCAGGTGGCCCCGCTGCGGGTAGCCCCGCAGGGTGACCACGTTCTCGATCGAGTCGCCAATTGGCGTCTGGTGGAAGTCTGGAGTGAAGTAGCGCAGTGAAGTAAGAGAGAGCGTCTCGAGCTCGCGGGTTACCCCGCTAGCTCGATCGCGGACTGACTCCGCTCCTCGCAGAGCCGGCGCAACATGGTATTCCACCGTAGTAGTAGTCCACCAAGTTGTGCCGTGGATAACTGGTATTAGAGCGAGAGCCAGCCACACGAGAGTGTAGCCAGCTCCGCTACCAAGTCGAAATCGTACTGGTAAGCTTAGGTATGTGGTCCGCCTTAGGCGCTCCCATATCCCAGGCTTTGGCTCATATCGCATGAGCAAGAGAGCGAGACGAAGCATGGGATCTGGAGTAAAGGATAGGATCGGCATCGTCAATGGAAAAGGTATTTTCCGATCTCAGATACGAATAGTGCGCCTCGGTGAGGCACAAT